GATATTTTTACTGGTCTTCCTTTATAAATATGCATTTCTTTAAACATAATTTAAAAGCAGTGTAAGGGAAGTAACCAAAACGTTGTATTTGGATTACCTCCCTTACACTGTTTTAGATTATCTTTATTGTTCATTAACCATTACTTTATACATAATTTAAAAGCAGTGTAAGGGAGATAATTTCAATGATGTATTTGATTTATCTCCCTTACACTGCTTTAAATTATGTTTTGTACTAAAGTATTTGTCCATTAACCAGGACAACCTTGTTTTTCCCCCTTTTTTGCCCCTAATTCCTAAACGGTTTGAGCCATAACCCCCCAAAGCAAATCCTAACCATCCCTTTGTGGTATGGAAACTTGTAGTATAATTTCAGAGAGATCCATACACCGTTCCACAGTTATTGTCTGGAAACTAGAAAATGCTCATTTTTGGCCCCTTTTTGGCCCCTAATTCCTTAACTGTTGGTACCATAACCCCCAAAATCAATCCCAACCTTCCTTTTGTGGTATTTAACCTTATGGTCAAATTTCAAAAAGATCCATTCACTTAAACTAAAGTTAGAGTGCGAAAACCAATATGTATTCGGACGACGACGCCGGACGACGACGACGACGCCGGACGACGACGACGACGACGACGACGATGACGACGCCATCGTCATACCAATATACGACCACAAAATTTTTTTGCGGTCGTATAAAAACTTGAAATATTCAAAACACTTATGTTTTTCTACCACCAAGCATAGATTGCCTTAGCCATATTTAACTTTAGTTTTCTATGTTTTTTTTGTACTGTTGTTTGTCTGTTGGTCTTTTTTTTTTTTTTAGAGTTTTCAGTTATTAATGCTCTTCAACTTTGCATTTGATTTGGCTTTCCAACTATGTTTATCAGAGCTCCACTGACGAGTTTTTGTAGATGAAAAGCGCATCTGGTGTGTGAACATATATTTGTTCCGCATAATACTTGTTCCCCCTGGAACAAAACTATGGATAATAAAAGTTCTTGGGAACAAACATTACATAATATTATTTCCACCTTCATCAGTTTTTTTCCTGGAACTAAAACATCATATGGTTTCATAATATGTGTTCCTCTAAAGAAAGAGTGTCATTTGATTTTTTACACCTGATTACATCTTAATTAATGTTCACCTCACATGACATTTACCTGTACATGTAGTACATACAAAGAACATGAAGAATGGAATCTGAGGAATACAACAAAATTTATACATATTTAAACGATGTCTCTTATTCTAAACAAGGTAAGAATATATATAATTAATATTTTATTACTACATGCTCCACTGTGACTTACTTAACTAAAGGTCCGTTAGTCTGTACCAATGAAGAAAGTTATGCTTATACTTTAGTCAAGCATGAAGTCAGCCACAAATTTCAGATGAAAATGACTGTACTTTATTATTGGAAATTTACTTCCATACATTTGTAGCTAAAAATAATTATGGGTATTGTAGTATATATTCCTAGAACTTTGATCATATAATAAATATTTCTAGAACTTTAATTATCTTATAACCATGATAACTATTCCTGGAACATTTATAATATAGCCAATATTCCAATATGCCTGAAACTTTTATAATATAGGAAATATTCCTAGAACTTTTATGATATAACAAATATTCCTGGAACTTTTTATAATATAACAAATTTTCCTCAGAACTTTTATAATATAACAAATATTCCTGAAACTTTTATTATATAAAACATTGTCCATACTATTTATTCCAAAGAACTTTTAGCATATAACAGAAGTTCCATTGGGAACTTTCCTTATGTAATATTTTATCCTTTGTGAAGGAAATTTTCTTATAGCATTGGATAAAATATTATATAAGGAAAGTTCCTAATGGAACTTTTGTTATATGCTAAAAGTTCTTTGGAACAAATATTAGGAGGGAACTTATATTCTGTCACATGGTGTACCAAATTATAAGCATGGTGTTTTTTGTGAACTTTTATTTGAATTTTTCATTATATTAGTTAAATGAACTTTATTCACAATTTCTGATTTTAGTATGACAAATAAATTCTATATATTATTTGCCAACCAAATGAAACTTTTCCACAGATTCATCTGCTATAGGTCAATCTATTTAAACTTTTGTCAGTTCTATTGTCCCATGGAATAAATACAATAGCTTTGTTCTCTGTGTAGTTTATTCACTGGGACCTTTAATTTTTTTTCTGTAATAGTTATACACCGAGGGATAGGTGTGTCTGGATAAGAAACCCTGTCAGCCGGAGGCCGGAGGGGTTTCTTATCCAGACACGCCGTATCCCAAGGTGTATAACTAACTTACACCCCATTCTAAACCCTATATTTGTTAACATTGATTATTAAATGAAAAAAAATACAAAACGATAGCATATTTATTGACAATATCAAACCATGATTTATAAGAATGTTTGTTTTATTACATGAAACCCCACTAGTAACCTTTCTTTGGTTATCTTCGTTCAAACTTTGACAAGTGAGTATATTTTACAAATGTCAAAGTTGCTGTTTTGCATATTCCCATTAAATCCATGTGCTAATATGGATCAGCAGGTCAAGGTCGACTGTTTCGTGTATTCTTATTACAAACAAAAAATACATCATGCTCCTGGTATACAGTTGTCAATATGGACGGGTATAAGACGGACGACATTTTGTGGCAAGCGTTGGGTTTGGTAGAAGAGACTAATTAAAAGATAAAGGCAATATTATAACCCAAAGTACTTACCTGTATCAGTTTAATAAAGGTAATCATAACTGTATTTTATATCTTAAGATTTTATCAAAAACAAAAGCCCCCCCTTCTCAAGAATAAACAAACATTCATATTCTAACATACTATGGGATATGTGTGTCTGCATTAGAAACCCGACTACCAGACACGCTCAACATACAATATTTAATATTGAGGAACCCTTTTTTGGGGGGCAATCAGGGGCTGATCCAGCCGGGGGTTCCCAACTCAAGAGAAAAAGGGGGAGGGGGTCCAACCCGCGGAACACCCAACCCCAGATCAGCCACTGGGTAACTGTGGGGGGGGGGGGGGAGTTAGAATCCCCATTTTTTTTTAAAGATCAATGCTTTAGAATAGAGACATATGACTGGGGTAAAAAAAATTACCTTCAAGCAAAAGAGTATTTAAAGGATTATTTTTGTATTCCATATAGATGCTTATTGGAATTTCCTAAAATGTGTTTTTTTTTTTAATATCATGAAACAATTTGTAGTGAACTCTATCAGTAATTTCTTATCTTCATGCTATTTAAAAAATAATCAATTTCTATTGTTACGAATAACAATGGACTTTGTTTGCGGAATGTAGAAGCAGGGGTTTCCAGAAACCCCGCTCGTCACATCCTGTAGTCAAAATCCATTGTTATTCGTAACAATAGATCTATTCAATTTACACTTGTTTCAGAAATAGAAACTATGAAGTATAACAATAGAACTGGGGTGTAAAAGAGAAATCAATCACTCTTTGATTAATTTACCTCAGTAAACAAATTATCTTCTAAAGACATGAAAATTCATGTTTTATTACTCACAAAACTGCATGTATTTATTCAATATTGAACTTAAGATAAAGGATTCAGCAGATACAGTTAAGCCTGCCTTATATCTTGACTTACATCTAGAAATTGACAATGAGGGTCGGTTGAAAACAAAATTACAAAAAAAAAAACATGATGATTTCAGCTTCCCAAATGAGAACTTTCCATTTCTTTGTAGCAAAATTCCAGCAGCGCCTGCATACGGAGTATATATCTCCCAGTTGATACGATATTCCAGGGCTCGTATTTCCTATCATGATTCCTTGATAGAGAGTTGCTGCTCACAAGGAAGCTAAGAGTTCCAATTGGTGAAATTGAAATCATCCCTTCGTTATTTTACGAACGCCATTATTAGTTGGTTGACCGTTATGGAATATCTGTTTCACAGATGACAACAGATATGTTCCAATTGTCCCCTTTTCACTGAATGTGACCTACAGAATTAGACTTATCACCGGGTTTGTACTAACATGAGCAACATGACAGTTGCCACATGTGGAGCAGGATCTACTTACCCTTCTGAAGCACCTGAGATCACTCCCAGTTTTCGGTGGGGTTCTTGTTGTGGAGTCTTTAGTTTTCTATGTATTTTTGTGTACTGTTGTTTGTCTGTTGGTCTTTTTCATTTTTAGCCATGGCGTTGTCAGTTTATTTTCAACTTATGAGTTTGAATGTCCCTTTGGTATCTTTCACCTCTCTTCTACACCTTACATAATCATTCCATACACCAAATAAAGTTAACTTATTGATAGTATCTAAGAAACTGATTTGGCCACAAAAAGTTAATCTTGATCACTGATCTATAAATTGAGTTAGCGATCCGATCCGGTGAATTCTGTCTGACAAGCATGTAGACTCTACATGATTGTCAGACAGAATTCAAAGGATTTCTAGAAATTATAGTTAATGAATAGGCTGAAGTCACAGCAATGGTTTAAAGATTGACCCAATACATTATATTAATCCTGGTCATTGTTTTAACAAATTAGGTTAATGTTTAACTGTTGTAATATATATGTGTCTGATGTTAACATAATCTAGTCAAATAAAGTATCATATATTTTTTCCTGGTGATAATTCATTACACATACACTGTTTATTTTAATTCTGTGATATCATCCAATAACATATAACGATCTGACTGTTTTTGCAGAGTACATATTAGGTTATGCAAAAAGAAATCAGCATATGATTTCATTATAAAAATAAGGAGATGGGGTATGAGTGCCAATGAGTCAACTATTTCTAAATGCTTCATTTGGAATGACAATTAATTTGATGATAATTACAATATTGTTAATCATACTACATCACCTTAATCTAACATTGTCATTAAGATAATTGTTTATTTCCTGAATTTCAATGATCATAAATATGCATAAAATTTTTGATTAAAAATGAATATTCATATATTAAATTAAACTTTTTCCTGTTGTTTAATCTGCTTGACATAGGGTAAGTTGATTCTCTTTTTATTCCATTTTTTATTCCAATTTAGTCTATTTTACCTTATCAAAAAGAGAAAGTTAACTTTAAACAAGATAAGATAGCAACCATACAACAAAAGTTTAGTAGAAATATACATATAGGGACAGTTATACAAATCTTCATTCATATATAAGTGACAATACCATATGGAAAGCTCTAAAAATTGATTAAACGATTGTTGCTAGCTTAACTTTCACTTGCTAATGAAAGCTAGAATAAGTAGAGAAAATTTGTGGATAAACTTCACACATATGACAGAAATAAGTCATTCTTGTACTGACATGACTCATTTTAGAATGGTATGTAAAAGTTCTATATCCTCCAATGAAAACAAATCAGTGCTGGAAATATAAATTCTATTCTTCTAAATAGTTTCTTCATTCTAAATACTTTTTATTCAATTATATTTAATAATATTTGTATTTATTACTACTTCATTAATTCAATTCAATACAATATTCAATGAACAACCTAAGAGATCTTAAAAGAAATACAATATACAATGATCAACCAAAGAGATTTTAAAAGAAATACAATATACAATGATCAACCAAAGAGATTTTAAAAGAAATACAATATACAATGATCAACCAAAGAGATTTTAAAAGAAATACAATATACAATGATCAACCAAAGAGATTTTAAAAGAAATACAATATACAATGATCAACCAAAGAGATTTTAAAAGAAATACAATATAATACAATAAATAACCTAAAAGATCTTAAAAAAGTAACTGCTTAAGGTTGCAATTCTGTAAATATAGACAATGCAATTTCCCATAGGAACTCCCTTTGCGGCTAAAACTGTGACACTTTTATTATGAAGTTTCGTGAAAAATTATATCCCAGAACGGAAAGTTTATATGCACTACTATTTTATTCAAAGGTCAAAATATAGGGCTGTGCGGCATATTTTCAACATTTATATGCCCTGAACTTCTAAGAGTTTAAACTTAGACTAAAATTCTATACTACCCTTACCTTCATATTTGGACCTCCTAAGAATTAAAATTTAGGCGCTACCATGTTTTTCTATACTGGTTACATTCCCAAGTGATGTCTCTATGAGAGGAAACACAGAGATCATAAATGGGAACCAGTACATTAACAAATTAACATATCTATGAATATTATATATCTCCCCAAAAGAGGCGTGGTTTCAGAAACAGCTGTATTTACAAAGTGCAACCTTAAAGAAGGTTTCTAGAGAGTTTTAAAATAACAAATAAAAGTTTTAGTTGTTTTATATAGAAAGATGTTTACTATGTTTACAAAATTATATGTCAGTGCACTCTTATTGGCAGTAAAAGCATCAAAAAATTTAGAAAGAAATTATGAATGAAGTGGGAACAAGGAATTATTTGAATCTGGAATAATTTTGAATTCTGGAAAATTGCTGAGAAATGTATGACTAAAAACTAACCCAACTAAATAGACTTAGCCATGCGCACATGGCTAAGGTGGGTTAGTTAGTTCATACTGAAATATCAGTGAAAGTAAAATTAACCTTAGCCATGCATGCATGGCTAATAACATTCAGAATGGAAACCGGGAATGTGTTAAAGAGACAACAACTATTTAGTTAGGTTAGTTTTCATCATACTTTTCTGTTAATTTTGCAGAATTCAAAAGTATTCCAGATTCAAACAATTCCTAGTTTGGAGGTTACTGGGCAACATTTTCTAATGCTTAACATTTCAAAAAGCCAGAAAAGCTAAAAATAATGAAAAGACAGGTTGGCGGACATAATCAGTGGATATCCTTAAGCAATAAATGATAGCTAAAGTTGGTTAGAGTTGACAGAGAGTATAGAAACCTTGATTATTTTGGTACAGATAGAAGACTCAGAATGACATATGTGGACAAAACACCGAGGAAATTGAAACATCCATTCAAAGAGACAAAATCTGATGACCCACCCTCGTACCATGATGCTGTTACATTTCCTGACAAACTCTTTAAAAGTGAACGCCATACATTCACCTGTCTGAAGGCTATATTTGGTATCATCAGTGGAATTTTGACTGGTGGAATACTGTTTGTTCTGCTAGTGTTCAGTTTTGGTTTTGCCTTGGACATAGCTGGCTATATATCTATTGGAGTGACAGCACTGGCATGTCTAGGTCTAGCACTGTCTGTCCATGTCCGCTGTATAATCGTACTGATGATTCCTAGTCTGTTTACTGGTAGAGGAAGGGTAGCCATCCTGGCAGTTATATTTGGACTCCTGTTATCAAGACCAATCAAAAACATCTCTATAAATACTTCAGAAGTGTCAAGAAGTATGGCCTGTAGTACTGAACTCTTTCATAATCAGTCTTACTCTCTCAGACAACAGCTCCAGGTACCAATAGAGCAGATTAAAGAAGCCTTGGGTAAACAGGCTGAGGATATTAAGAAGTTAGGAACAGCAATAGAGAATGCCATAGGACCAATTTATGATGCTCTTGTTGCTGTTAAAAATGGTGTCAAGTTAGTTAGTGGTGCATTGGATACAGCTTCACAGGTAAAATAGTAAGTCAGTGGTGCACTGGATACATGAAAAGTAAGTCAGTTAGCAACTGGATATGGCTTTAAAGATAAAATAGTAAGTCAGTGATGAAGTTGATATTGCTTCACAGGTAAAATAGTAAGTCAGTGGTGCACTGGATACATGAAAAGTAAGTCAGTTAGCAACTGGATATGGCTTTAAAGATAAAAAAGTAAGTCAGTGGTGCACTGGATACATGAAAAGTAAGTCAGTTAGCAACTGGATATGGCTTTAAAGATAAAATAGTAAGTCAGTGATGAAGTTGATATTGCTTCACAGGTAAAATAGTAAGTCAGTGGTGCACTGGATACATGAAAAGTAAGTCAGTTAGCAACTGGATATGGCTTTAAAGATAAAATAGTAAGTCAGTGGTGCACTGGATACATGAAAAGTAAGTCAGTTAGCAACTGGATATGGCTTTAAAGATAAAATAGTAAGTCAGTGATGAAGTTGATATTGCTTCACAGGTAAGTGGTGCACCGGATACATGAAAAATAAGTCAGTTAGCAACTGGATATGGCTTTAAAGATAAAATAGTAAGTCAGTGATGAAGATGATATTGCTTCACAGGTAAAATAGTAAGTCAGTGATGAAGTTGATATTGCTTCACAGGTAAAATAGTAAGTCAGTGATGAAGTTGATATTGCTTTACATGTTAAATTGAAAGTCAGTGTCCAGTGATGCAGTGGATACTAGTGGAGCATAATAAACAGCTTTACAGATAAACTAGTATGTAAGTGGTGCAGTGTATTCAGCTTTACAGATAGAAATAATCAGTCAAATATGCAATGTATTCAGCTTCACAGGTAAAATAGTAAATCAGTGATGCAGTTGTATTCAGTTTCAGAGGTAAAATAATAAGCCAGTGGTGCAGTGAATTCAGCTTCACAAGTAAAACAAAAAGTCAGTGGTAAACTGATAGCTTCACATGTAGAATAGTAAATCAGTGATAGCCTCCAGAAATGCTATACAGGTAGAATGGAAAGTCAGTGGGTAAAGCTAAAATGGCAAGTCAGTGGTAAACGGATAACTTCACAAGTTAACAGTAAGTCACTGTTAAACTGATAGATTCACAGGTAGATATATAGTCAGTGGTAAACTGATAGATTCACATGTAGAACATAGCTAGTCAGTGGTAAACCGATAGCTCCACATGTTGAAAAGTAATTCAGGGGTAGCCTAATAGCTATACAGGTAGAATGGTAACTCAGTGGTAAACTGATAGCTTTACATGTTGAATAGTAATTCAGTGGTAATCTGAGAGCAACACAACGGGTGCCACGATTGCAGCAGGATCTGCTTACCCCTACCAGAGCACCTGAAATCCCCCCGGTTTCTGGTGGGGTTTGTGTTGCTCAGTCTTTAGTTTTCTATGTTGTGTTTTGTGTACTGTTGTTTGTCTTTGGTCCTTTCCTTTTTTTTTGCCATGGCGTTATTTTATTTTCGACTTATTAGTTTGAATATCCTTTTGGTATCTTTCAACCTCTCCTTCACAAGTAGACTAGAAAGTTAGTGATAAACTGATAGCTTCAAATGTTGAATAGTTATTCAAAGGTAATCTGATATCTATACAGGTAGAATGGTCAGTCAGTGGTAAACTGGATACAGCTAAACAGGTAAACATAATGTCAGTGGTAAACTGATAGCCTCACAGGTAAACAGTATGTCAGTAGTAAAATGATAGCTTCACAGGTAAACAGTAAGTTAGTGGTAAAATGGTAAAAGTTTCAGAGGTAAACAGTAAGTCAGTGGTAAACTGGTAACAGCTTCACAGGTAAACAGCAAGTCAGAGGTAAACTGGTAACAGCTTCACAGGTAAACAGTAAGTCAGAGTTAAACTGGTAACAGCTTCACAGGTAAACAGCAAGTCAGAGTTAAACTGGTAACAGCTTCACAGGTAAACAGTAAGTCAGAGTTAAACTGGTAACAGCTTCACAGGTAAACAGTAAGTCAGAGGTAAACTGGTAACAGCTTCACAGGTAAACAGTAAGTCAGAGGTAAACTGGTAACAGCTTCACAGGTAAACAGCAAATCAGTGGTAAACTGGTAACAGCTTCACAGGTAAACAGTAAGTCAGAGTTAAACTGGTAACAGCTTCACAGGTAAACAGTAAGTCAGAGTTAAACTGGTAACAGCTTCACAGGTAAACAGTAAGTCAGAGTTAAACTGGTAACAGCTTCACAGGTAAACAGTAAGTCAGAGTTAAACTGGTAACAGCTTCACAGGTAAACAGTAAGTCAGAGTTAAACTGGTAACAGCTTCACAGGTAAACAGTAAGTCAGAGTTAAACTGGTAACAGCTTCACAGCTAAACAGTAAGTCAGAGGTAAACTGGTAACAGCTTCATAGGTAAACAGTAAGTCAGTGGTAAACTTGATGCAGCTTCACAGGTAAACAGTAAGTCAGAGGTAAACTGGTAACAGCTTCACAGGTAAACAGTAAGTCAGTGGTAAACTTGATGCAGCTTCACAGGTTAAAACACTAATGAAGTAGTGTGTTAAGCAGTGTTTTTATAGGAACATTACTTCTACAGTGTGTATTTTGAAGAAAATTGTCTCTCACTACAGCCCTCATTTAATGTCAATATATTGTACACTTATTCTGTAGTGTAAATAACATTGTGTAAGAGATCACATATGTATGTAGTCATACTTTATATATTTACAGGAGTGTGATAGAGTGATGAACGGTGTGTATTCAGACTGTGTAAGAGATCTCAACAAAGCCTACAGTGCTTGTACTAACACACTTAATGATGTTAAGAAGTAAGTATCATAAGTAGTCATTCATCTCTCACAGAGCTTTGATTTGTTTATAAATTGTTGAGGTTTAAACTGAGGTCATTTTCAAACTTTATTGAACTATGATTCTACTTCTTTAAGTTGTTGTTTGAATATATTTTCTTGCAAAATTTACATTTTATTTGACCAAGCTTTCATCTTTTTAACATTTTCAGTAGCTACATTTGCATCAGAAAAGATGTTTTTGGCTTAAAATAATTAGTGAAAGATACCTCTCTTTCTCAAATTATGTCATGTTTGAGAATAAACAAACAGTTAAGATTATTAACATATTCTGAATCTAATGGATTAAATTGAAGTAATAACACTTTAATGGAATGTAAGTCTGCCTCATATCTTGACTTACATCTAGAAATTGACAATGAGGGTCGGTTGAAAACAAAACTTTACGACAAAAGAGATGATTTCAGCTTCCCAATTGTGAACTTTCCATTTCTATGTAGCAACATTCCAGCAGCGCCTGCATACGGAGTATATATCTCCCAATTGATACGGTATTCCCGGGCTTGTATTTCCTATCATGATTTCCTTGATAGAGGATTACTGCTCACAAGGAAGCTATTAAACCAAGAGTTCCAAATGGTGAAGTTGAAATCATCCCTTTGTAAATTTTACGGACGCCATCACGAGTTGGTTGACCGTTATGGAATTACCGTTTCATAGATGATATCGGATATGCTCCTTATGTCGTAACTACAATACCCTTCACTTTTCACGAATGTGACCTACCGAGTTGGACTATTTACCGGATTTATAATAACATAAGCAACACGTCGGGTGCCACATGTGGAGCAGGATCTGCTTACCCTTCCGGAGCACCTGAGATCACCCCCAGTTTTTGGTGGGGTTCATGTTGCTTGGTCTTTGGTTTTCTATGTTGTGTCATCTGTACTATTATTTGTCTGTTTGTCTTTTTGTTTTTGGCCATGGCGTTGTCAGTTTGTTTTCGATCTAAGAGTTTGACTATCTTTCGTCCCTCCTTTATCATCTCTTAATTGGTCCAAGTTCAATTATTTTCAACTGATCAGAACATTTCATGGTCTTCAGAAAAAATACAAATAACTAAGTTAATTTTCATGAAACTGACCTAAAATGATGTTGCCTTTGTGGCCTTTGTCTATGTAATTAGTAAAGGGGTGAAATTTATGTACTCCTAAGTCATAAAATAAATAGGCAAAACTGTGAAAGGAAAATTTTTGTTGCTAATGCTTAAAATAAATCACCCCCCCCCCCTCCCCCCCCATACAAATGGTTTGTAGAAAACAATAATATTGTTCTTACTAGCACCTCAAAATTTCAAAAACAAATTTAATTACCCTGCATGAAAAGTTTCTGCATTGATTTTGTGAAAATAACAATCACCAAAAGTATCAACAAGAACAGTAACTAGTACAATTTTTGCAGGTATGTTCCAGGATTTGATTTAACAGCTATCTGTAAAGTTCTAGATATAGAACAGGTTTGTGTTGTAGTCAAACCATCTTTCCTATGTTCACCAGTCAAAACACTTGATAATGCAGCCGAGAAACTTGCAGAATCTGCTGTCAATCTGGTCAAAGAAGTCAATAAATGGTTTCAATTCAACATCATTAACCAGTCTCAGCTTGACAAGGTTTATAATGCTTCTAAAACAGCTAAAGAATTGATAGCTGAGGTTGAGGCGGCCCTGACCGAAAAGAAAATCACATTTACTTACATCATTGAGATTATGAGCAAACTCTTAGCTCTGTCGCTTCTGTTGCTCCTAACGCAATCATTTTTTTATCTGAAAAATTATCTCGCCAAGGACGAATTTGACAACATTTACATTACTACACAGTTTAAGGGTTATGATTCTGAAACACAAGAGAAAGGACAACGCGGTGTGTTACCTCTACAAAAGAAGGAAAAGAAACTATACACAGATAGCACCTCCTTGAGGATGTCTCCAAAAGAGAAAAGTCAGAGTTTAATTGGTATTTCCCAGCTCCTACTACACATGTTACTGAGTGCTCTGATAGTGTTCCTTAATTATGTACTGTTCTATATACTGTACCTTGTAAACAGGTATGGCCAGGTAAATGTAGAGGTCACTGGACAAAGTAAAATAAACCTAAAGGTCAAGGGAGGACAAATGGCTGCCTTTATAAACACTTTTATAAATAACATTAACATTCAAAACACATATGAAGCTAGTTATAATACAACTATATGCCTGCCAAATCCAACAGCACCTGATGCTACCGACATTCCAGTTCTTTCTTCAGCATACATTGCTGCTCTACTCCTGGTTTTCATGCAAGCCTACGGAGCAAGATACAATCGCAAGATATGTGCCTTCTACTACCCTGAACAGGAAAAGGAACGTACCATGTTTCTGCAGAAGAAAATTCTCTACATCCGCAAGAGAAGAGACACTTTCATTAAACAACATGTTAACTCATTAAAGAAACAAAAAATTGCTGAACAAAGAATGTCTGTAAAACAAGTATTATCCGCAATATGTCCTTGCTTAAAAGTGGAACAAACAGATCTAAAATTCTGTATGAACTGTGGAGCTAACCAAGGATCTAGTCATACATTACAAGAATGTAAAAAAACAAACTGCACCGCAACTTACTGTTCCGAGTGTTTTAATGATTTTGGACGTACATGTCCTATCTGTAGAAAATAACAGCACTGCTTTTATATTATATATCTAATATTTTATTTACTTTTATAAATTAATATTCAGTCAAGAATACACACCATGTCCAACAAGATATTTTGAAAAACCATACTTATCCATCTAATCTTTTGAACTTGTATATCAAGAAATAGAGGACTATAAATATTATATTTTCTTTTTTTGCTTTTTTTCTCTTTAAAGAAAAAATACCTTCAAAACAAAATTCTGGCTTACAGAATAACAAAAAAATGTGGATAGTGTCCACATGTGGACACAGATGATGCCCCACTTGCATATCATATAGTTATAAAGGGACATAACTGAAGAACAATAAAAGTGACGCTACCCAAATTTGAACTTGATCTGAGTTTTGTGGTAATAAGCATTGTGTGTAAGTCTCATAACATTTGGTTGAGGCTAACTTAAGTTGAAAACAGAAACTAAAAATTCAGCCATTTTTCTATTTGTAAACACGCATAACTCTAGAACGGTTGTGTGAAAAATTTATAACATTTGGTTGAGACAAACTAAAAAATTCAGCAATTTTTATGTTTATAAAGGGACATAACTCAAGAATGGTAAAAGTGTCGCCACCAAATTTCGTACTTAATCTGTATTTTGTAGTAATAAGCATTGTGTATAAGTTTCATAACATTTGGTTGAGGCAAAATAAAGTTAGAAAACGGAAAACAAAAAATTTGTACTTGATCTTAGTTTTGTGGTAATGAATATTGTGTATAGGTTTCATAATGTTTGGTTGGGGCAAACTTAAGTAACAGAATGGAAACTTAAAATTTTGCAATCTTTCAAATTATAAAGGGGCAGAACTCAATAATGGTTAAAGTGACACTACCCAAATTCAACTTGATCTGTGTTTTATAACTGGAAGTCATAATTTAACATTGCATAGTATAAAGCATTGATTGTAGTTGATTCAACTGTAATCATGGACAAAGGAAGATAACTCCAATTCTAAAATTACTTGACATTTAGAAGAAAATAAAAATTTTGCAATTTTTCCATTTATAAAGGGCCATAACTCTAGAACAGTTAAAGTGACACCACCAAAATTCAAATTTGATCTGTGTTTTGTGGTAATAAGCATTGTTTATAAGTTTCATAACATTTGGTTGCGGCAAACTTAAGTTAGAGAACGGAAACTAAAAATTTTGCAATTTTTCCATTTATAAAGGGGCATAACTCTAGAACGGTTAAAGTGATGCCACCAAAATTCAAACTTGGTCTGTGTTTTGTGGTAATAAGCATTGTGTATAAGTTTCATAACATTTAAACTTAATGCCCCCACAGCTACGGCGGGGGCATAAAATTTTTTTATACATTTTCTTCAAAAAACTGCAGGAAATAATATTCTTTCATCCTGCAGTCAGCCAACTACTGTACAACTTAAAGAATATAAAACTAGTTACATTCGATGAAAACATTGGATCAAAACAACTAAACCTTATTAAAGTGCCTGGTGTAGATTATAGGATAAAACTATATATGTACATTGTCTGAAATTATCAAATATCAAATGTATTTGTACTTGCTACAAAACAGGAGAAAAGCCTGGCTTTTTTCGTCCTGTTTCTAAAGATAAATTTAATATTTTCCAACATTGAACATATATTGTATATAGATGGTGCAGTCAGTAATCAATTTTTTTTTCATAAATTCAAACCAATTATTTTATTTATTCAAAGAATATGAAACTAGTTACATTTGAATTGTCCCTCTTTGTATAATGATTAGATGCAGAAAAAGATATCATGCATAAAGTATAAGCACATGATCCATTTGGATAAAATTTGTTCAGTAACAAAACAAAGCATCAGATTTCATTTTCTAGTAGGAAACATATTATTTTATTTCCACTTATTAATTAGTTCATACTACTGACTAGCCCTATATATATATATGTTTCCTTCATGTAAAAAAGATCATGCAAAAGAAATTTCTAATAAGCATTGTCTCAAATTATTTTAACATAACACAAATTTTCAATCTACATCATTGAAAATGCCTAATCTAAATTTGAGTAAATCTTAATCCTATTAGTTACAGCCTGAAGTTATGGAATGGGAGACAACTCTATCTGGCTTAAAGGTTTTTCATTGTGTTTAAAGGTGTCAACAATATGAAGCGATCTGATTGGCTGTAGATGTTTGCATGTATAAATCTGTCCTATAATTATCCACAAAGCACATGCTGTAATGTCAGAGTAGTATACACATGGCAAATCTTACCTAGATGGATTTAATCACATTATTTTTTGTGTTTATTCTTTGTTTTGTGGACTTTACGACTCCCAATAGGAATGATGACATGTGGGAAGCACTGTCGTGTAAGTACAACATGATCAATTGGAATTTAATTGGATCAATTAAAACCATTAAATACAATTGTCAATCTATTTACATCAGGAAATTTTTACTACTTTTTTGTGATTCTGTCCGCAATAAAATAAAAATAAAATTCAGAAAAAAAGACAATCAAGTCAATGACAAATGACATTAATTATTTGAAAACATTTCATCAAAGTCACTAAACTGAAACAATCAAATCTTAATATGTTCTCTTCCTTAATATTTCTCATAAAAAGAGGATAAGTTGCCACTAGGTATTTGTTTTGGGTAAAAAAACGTGTAAAAGTTTTAAATATTGACAAACACTTCTGAATGTTTATCAACATGGTTTAATCAAATAGTTAGATCTATTTACATTTAAATATTTGTTTTACTTCAAAAGACAGACAATTTAAACTGAAAACTGTTCACTTATCATGACAGCGAATTTTAAGTTAAAAAACGAATCAAAAGAATGAAAATAATGGCAGGTGATATTTAAGGATCTATAACTGATAATCAACAGAAAAATAAAAGTATAATATCCATATTTAGAAAAATTACAAATTATTACCATGGAAACCATAAATATAATATTACACCTGTTATTAGTTAGCAGACTATTGATTAAATATGTATTTTATAGTAATTTTATTCCACATAAGGACTGCCGAGTCTCAAGAGTGCTGATCAAACGCTCAGTTTCTGGCTAGTGTTAGGATAGAACCGTTATAAATGACACAACAACATGACAAACCAAAAAATAGGTTTCTCAATTGATTAACAGTTTCATGTTTTCTGGATGTAAATAGAAAAAAATGAAGCAATCTAGAAGTAAAAAAATATGAAAAAAAATGACGGGACTAAGGTTACTACCACGTAACCGTTTAATTTGCCTTACTAAAGACTTAAGGAAACGTCTAGTCAATTCTCTTTTGGATTGTTTCACATTTTGTCATATCAGGGCCTTTTCATAGCTTACTACATGGTATGGGGTTTGCTTATTGTTGACATATCACTAAGATAGTGCATGGTTACATTTCAGGGTATCAATACTTACTGGATGATTATCTGTGTCTCTGAACTTCCACCTTTTTTTAATTTACCTTGGTTTTCATACTTTTGGTTCCACTTATTTAGATTTTTTAGATTTGTTTGCAGGCCTTTAGCAAATTGTCAAATACTTTGTCATCTTTGGTACTACTGGACAATTCTTAGTACAAACCTATTAGCAAGCCATTCTCATCCTCCCACTTTCTGACTGTCCATTTAACTTACCTATAATAGAACATAAAAACAAGGTTAAAAACATAAAATAATGAAAAATATAATTCTAAGTCATTAGCTGTAACAGGAATACAACATTCTCTCTATCTTAAAACTTAGGGTGTCTTGTGTTATTTATTTTATCATCAAGTAAAAACTGAAATCTTATCTGTCTTTTTTTTATCTCACACTGTCTCTATTGACAGCATATAAAAATATACCATTTTTTTTCAATGAAATATTAATGATAAATTCATATGAAGTCATACACAAAAAAAAAGAGAAATAAAAATAGTAACCGAAGTGCAAATTTCCAGTAAACTTGAATTTACAAGCTGGAAATCATTAAGGTATTTTTCTTAAATGTAAAAGAAAGGATATGGTTTATTAATTTATTCATTAATCAAATATCAGTAAATCAAAATGTTAATATCAAATTAAAATGACCATTCTCGAAACATTAAATTAACAAATATATACTAACAAGTATAACATAATTCATTTCTTTGTCTCTACTTATACCCAGCAGATATAGATAGAAATGTATATTTAATAGATTGACAATTTTATTTAAAATAATTTTAGGAAGAGGTTTAGCTTCCTTTTATTTTTATCTACCCATTTATTCAAATATTTGCTGCTGGAACTTTTGGCTCTGAGCATTTCTAATGAAGGAGTGAAGGTTAATTCAGAACAGCAGAACTGTTTGATTTTATTTTTGAATTAAAAAATAAACACCCATAATGTATTCCTTTCCTAAATAGCTAATGGCAGATTTTTTTATGATTTTTGCTATCCTGAAAGAGTAAAACTTACCAATTTTAAATACACAGCACCATGCCGATTATTGGTTTCAAACCTGACCATATGTAAATATGCTACTCAGGAAGTCAAATTACAAGTAACAAGGGGAAAATTCATCTACATTCATCCATCATAGCTATATAACGAATGTCATAGTTTTATTTGTTTTTCTCTCTAAATTGAATGAAAAATCAATGGCTAAAATCAACCTAATTATAGTCATACTGAAAATAAATCCACATAACGCAACCACCTGGTCCTAAAAAATTAGCTTCCTGTTGGTTGTAAATGTATGAATTTGTACGGTAAAATTTCAATTTAGCATCCGGAGTGTAGCATGAGTCTTGCTGTAGGACACCAAACAACCCGATCATATCCCTTGTATTGTATAGAGAAAATAGATTAAATTCTCAATCGATAAATAAATGGGAAAATACTTGAGGATCGTCGATCAATTTAGAGTTAACTTTAACGTTTGACTTGATTAAAGGTAACAGCATTAGGACTCTTCATTTCCGTTTTACACACTGGTGTGGCGGACTTTAATTGGGAACTGAGACTTCAAAACATACTAATCAAAAACTGTTGTACGTCCTTGTCTTCTTGGTGTTTAAATCATACAAAGAAAATAACACAAAACCAATCTTTTTGTGAAAGCTTCCGTCAAATCAATGGGACTTTCTTTGCCTTTGTTTTTTGTTCTTTTGTTCTTGAGATGAATTTGCATGTATAAATCTATATACAACTTGCCTGACAATAAACCAATTTATTTTTACATCCAATCTAATATTTATGAAAAAATTCAAATGCATGAAAACTGTATAAACTATTTCAGTTTCTTTTCCAAGTATAAAAATTAAGGCACTAATGAATGAGTATGCATGGAAAACTCTAAATGAATACTCAGATCTACAAGCAATTAACTTTAAATAAATCACTATGAACATATAAAACTTTAAAACTGTGAGTTCAACCCCACCACATTCTTTATGTGCCTGTCCTAAGTCAAGAGCCTGTAGTTCAGTGGTTGTCGTTGGTTCAAGTCTGTCATATTTGTTTTTTGTAAATTGTTTTGTTATAGATTAGGCTTTAAGTTTTCTCAACTGAATTGTTTCATATTTATATACTATACGTTAAAGGGTTGTTTTCTCATTGTTGAAGGTTGTACGGTTGCCTATCATTGTTTACATCCACTTTATTTGAACTTTGGTGGATAGTTGTTTCATTGGCAATCATACCACATCTATTATTTGTGGTTGTGCCTGTACCAATAAGCAAAATTGTTGCAATACCATATAAACATCTTGCAAAGCAAACTAAATTTTTACATGAACATTCAATTGCTAACTGTAACAATATGATAAAAAATTTACCGATTTTAATAATACTGTATCAGACAGATTCTTTTTTATCTTTTACAAAATTAGCTTCGTTTTTGCTTGGTGTGTAAAAATTCTGTCGTGTCATATAAAGTTTACATTTTTTTTAATGTCTGTTAAGTTAAATTAGCTTTGTTACAAAAAAGCACACAGGTTTAGAACATCATCAGTACGTTTACCTATACATATGTATATATCAGTTAAGATAGTAAAAGTTATCTTAGGGGATTCACAGATAAAATTGGGAGATTTTGTTTTATGTTATAAAAATACAATAATTTTGTGGTTATTAACTGAACCAGACCACACAAATTGTTACATCTTAGGTAGTGCTAATTTGTTATAATTTTTATAGAACTTTATCAGGCCTATTAATTCCCAGAAAGACCTGAAGTACAAAATGCCAGACCCTAGTGATCTTATAGTTACAAGTTCTGTATGTATTTAAATAAGTCAAAAGAGAAGGAATAATTCAGCCTTCCTGACTGAAAACTTAATTCATATGTTATCTTTATTTTTAATCCACTTCTTCATTATATTAATGTTTTTTTTTTCCATATAAAAAAGTAAGAATACATTGTAAAGCATTTTCAGCTCTAAGAAAGTAACTTCAAAGTTGTGACAGTAACCAGTCTTTAAAGGTTTCAGAAATCATTTAGTGTTAAAAAACACATTTTATTTTTCCTAAAATAACTTTTTATTAGAGATACAAACTGGATCTTTTTCAATCATTGAAAATGTTCATGGTCGTTGGGGGACTTGTCAGAATCAAGATATATGTAAGACTTCATCAAACCTTATCTAAAAAATTGTTTCCCTTGTTGGTACATCACTGTTGTTTTTCACAGTTCAAGATAGAACACTATTTTTTTTTAAACACCTCTCTTTAGGAAATTGAAAAAGAAACTAAGCAGATAAAAAATATCTTTAATATTTTTTTACTTTATAGATTACAAGAAATCTCAGAAAAACAGTTGCCTTTAATAGGAACAAACATAGATATCCTGGATTTATCTGTGGCTAACTATAACTAAACATAGATATCCTGGATTTATCTGTGGCTACTATAACTAAACATAGATATCCTGGATTCATCTGTGGCTACTATAACTAAACATAGATATCCTGGATTTATCTGTGGCTAACTATAACTAAACATAGATATCCTGGATTTATCTGTGGCTACTATAACTAAACATAGATATCCTGGATTCATCTGTGGCTACTATAACTAAACATAGATATCCTGGATTTATCTGTGGCTAGCTATAACTAAACATAGATATCCTGGATTTATCTGTGGCTACTATAACTAAACATAGATATTCTGGATTTATCTGTGGCTACTATAACTAAACATAGATGTCCTGGATTAATCTGTGGCTACTATAACTAAACATAGATGTCCTGGATTAATCTGTGGCTACTATAACTAAACATAGATATCCTGGATTTATCTGTGGCTACTATAACTAAACATAGATATCCTGGATTTATCTGTGGCTACTATAGCTAAACATTAGACTGATATTTACTCAGCAACAAATATG